TAATTTCTTCTTTGATCTCTTCATTAGTCCAGTGGTCTTCCAGTAGTGTGGTTTTTAATCTCCATGAGGTAGGATAGTTCCTTGCCTTCTTTTTATGGTTTATTTCTAGTTTGATGCCTTCATGGTCAGAAAAGATGGTTGGTATGATTTCAATCTTGGTGTATCTGTTGATGTTTGTCTTGTGCCCTAGTATGTGATCGATCCTGGAGAATGATCCGTGTGCGCTTGAGAAAATGTGTACGTTTTTTTGGGGTTTAGTGTTCTATAGATGTCTGTTAAGCCCAAATGCTCTAGGTCCTTATTTAGAGCTTTAGTTTCTTTACTTGTGTCTTGTTGATCTATCCATTGTTGATAGTGGTGTGTTGAAGTCTCCCACTACGTATGTGTTTTCTCTGATGTCTGTTTTCAGAGATGACAACAGTTGTCTGATATACTTTGGTGCTCCTTCGTTTGGTGAGTATATGTTAATGAGTGTTATTTCTTCTTGAAGTATTGTCCCCTTGATCATAATGTAGTGACCATTGGGGTCTCTTTTCATTTTTTTGAGTTTGAAATCTGTTTTATCTGATATAAGTATAGCTGTTCCTGCTTTCTTTTTTGGTCCATTTGCTTGTAGGATTGTTTTCCATCCTTTAACTTTGAGTCTATTTTTATGTTTTGTAGCTAAATGTGTTCCCTGGAGACAGCAAAAGGTTGGGTTTTGTTTCTTAATCCAGGCTGCAACTCTGTGTCTTTTTATTGAAGAGTTTAGTCCATTTACATTTAGAGTTAATATTGATATGTTAGCATCGCACACCCAACCTTTTTGATGACAAAAAATATTTTGTTTTAAAGAAGAATTTACACATTTCTACTTTACTACACTTCTGCGTGTTGAAAGTTTAGAATTCTAAAGAAAACCTGTGGCTGGGGTGTTAATAAAGAGTGAAATCTCTGTGCTGCAGAAACAGTTAAGAGTGACTCTGTTACTCCAGTGGGTGAGCCTACAGGGAAGAAAATGACAAATAAGAACTGCAAGTAAATGGATGATTCTTTGGCAACAATTTAAACAACCTTCTATATCAGTTTTTGATGTGAATTTTGTTGCTGTTCTTGTTTAGTTTGTTTTTGGACATTAAAAACTTTGTTAACTGTTTTGAATAAAGCAAAGATAATTCAGTAGTTTCCTATTACCTGGTTGCAATTACATATAAATGTCCTCAAACATTTAGACCTATTCTATTATCTTCCTTTCTGGCTATAATTAGAACAGAAAAGGGCTGTGTGTTTGTGTGTGTATGTGTGTACTATACATGCCTGCCTCTGAACCAAAAAAAAAACCACAGGCCAGGGGCTTAGGCTATTTATTTTGGATTCCGATAACAATCAGAAGTCAGGTTTTTAGTTTCTGAAGAAATGCCTGCATCTACTTGTAAATGATCTTTGAACACAGTGTGACAAGTAACAGTTCTACTTTTATTATGGGGGCTAAATTAAGGTGGCCTACATATTCCTGATCTTTAAAAAATGTCAAAGCAGTACAGCTTTGAAAATTTCTGCTTTTTCTTATAGAGCTTACTAAATTAAGCTAAGTACTTCATTATTAGAAAGATTTTTCTAAGCCAACATTTAAGTTTGTGCTTTGAATATCTGTCAGACTTGAGCTGATTTCTAAACAGGTTTTACAGATACAGCTGGAAGTTTGAATTCAGTTTTGCATTTTGGGGACTTAAACTATTGATTCATCTGTTCATGCTTATCTTTCCTTTGTATTAGTCAAAAGAACTGAGGTTAACTGTTGAGGAGAATTTTAGTTCCAAGGCACCTGGCTTTCTGGTTCTAAAGCTTTGGGGGTTATAGAGTTCTGTTATAGCTAATTGGATTTTGCAAACCAAGAATATAAAAAAATTAAGTCTAGAGATTATGACTTTCTATGCTAAATCCTTTGCTTTTGTAAGGGTGTTAGGCAGCATGTTGTCCAAACATCTAGAATGCAGTGGTAGTCTAATGTTGAGATAAAAATGCCATATTGGCATACATTGCCTGGATCATGAAGATAGACTAAATGTTCTTTTCTGACATTTACATTAATGTACTGATTGTTTCTTCATCAGTATTGGCCTGCTTTAAGGATTTATTTAACTGTAGGGAAAAACCGTACTTACAAATGATAGGAGTCAAGTGTTTGTTATTTAAACTCTATTTGGGGACAGGAAAATCAAGTATTGTCAAAAATTAAACTTCTATTGTTTTAAATCCAGAAGGGTCATTGTTCCATTTAATGAATCATACCGTAAGCTATAGTTACCTATGGGTATCATTGTTATTCTCTCAAAACCAGCCTTTAAAGTTACAGGATATTAAAATAGTATTCATGGTTTGTTTGTATTTTTAATATTACAAATGAGCTCTACATTTTAATTTCTAAAAATTCTCCATAGTTATCTTTTGAATTTTTCAGACAGGAAATGAAATTTATTCATGCAGAAAACCCTCTGGGAGACAGAGGTGCAAGCTCCCTTGTCTGGTACAGTTGAATCCTCTCTTGGGCCCTTCTGTAACACTGATTCACTTGACTAGTGAGTCAGCTAATGTTGACTGAATTCCAGGCTCTAGATTGCATTCTGGGAAGCAGATGAAAGAGAACTCCTCGCTAACATGTAGACTTCTGGGGGAAATAGATATATAAACAAGTAATTTTTAGATGTGGAGCAAATGCTGGTTTACAAAGTATGGTGGAGGCACTAAACGGATCGCTGCAGCTTTATTTAGTTTATCAGAGGTATTGTGGCTTTTTAAAATTGCTTTTAGTGAATTAAGACAATTTACTAATATATGGTCATATGTTTACATCTCAGAATTAATTTGAATGGATAAATAGATGGAAAAATATTATTCAGATACTTTATGAGTAGGTAGCAACTACTAAAATTGAGAAGTGTTTCACAACCACAGTTTTCATCTACATCTCAGTAGTTATGTCGAAATGATTAGTGGGTAAACATGAAAGAAATGTAGTCGGTAATGTGAAGAGGTTGTACCTGATATTGCCCCCAGCATAAGAAAATATTGGCAGAAAGGATTTTAAAAATGTTATTGCTTAACATGGTTTTTCTGGGTATTTGATCTACAGACTTCTCCTTTAGTTCCTCTAAAAAATCAGATTGAAAATATGCAGGCACAAATGCTTTGGCAACCCTGGTCAGTAACTTGAGTCTCAGTTGCATTTAGCATACTTCCGCTGGCTTGGAGCGTGGTTTTCTGCAAAAGATTAACCTGAAACTGACAGCACAAATTATACAGTTAGAAATATTCTAGTTTTTCTGATTTGTTTTTAGGATACTTTTTTCCCCTTTCTACCTTCCCAAGGAAAGAAAGACTCTCAGATGCATTGTATCTGTGGCCCGTTTAGCTTTGAGGCACATACTTCTACTATCTGGTTAAAAATAGCAAAGCCATTTATAATCTCAGCATCTCATCTCTCTTTTTAAAGCAGGCTCAGCTTTTAAAAGCTTAGTTGTTTTCATACTGCAGCCATACAGACCTTTCTCTTCATGCCTTAATGGTGTCTGGATCCACATATACATACCCATGTACGCTGGAGAGTTGGGTGTAAACAGTATTCCCCTTCACTGGTTCCCATTAATACTCCTAGTAACACACCCCCTACACCTTGCATGCAAATCCAGTTCAGTAACTAATCTGCAAATTTCATTTGTTCTATTTCAAAAATTCAGAAGCCCAAGTGTTATGGGATTCAACTTTCAAGGAAAAAATTTAATCATTCAGTAATAATTTTGGTTTTACTGATTCTAAATTTGTTTACTTGACAGAATCTTCACTAAAATTTGAATAATTTTTTAGCATAGCAAAGTAATGATTATTGTGATTTGTCATTTGTTCATAGATACTAATATTTAAGAATTAAATAATCCAAATTTATTTTAGTTCCCAGGCCATAATTGAATATCTGTCTTTGATGAAGCTTTATGATGCATTTGTATGGGGAGAGGAGTGCTCATCTAGTCTGACTTTTGTTTTATGAGTGAGAATCTGGGTCCAATGTCTTACTCAAGATTGTGCTCCATAAATGTTAGTTGAGTTATGGTCTTATAGTAGTTCTCCTTCGGTCTAAAATGCATTCCAGAATAATGGGAACTATGACTCGAATGGTAATTTAGAATTATATCGTGGTAGGTCTTGAATACAACTCATAGAAGTTAGCAATTTGCTTAATCTATGGTGAAAACTAGTAAAGGTCTTTAAATCTAGAAATGATATAATTAGAGCAGTGCTTTAGAAAGATTCATTTGTAAGTAGCAAATAAGACAGTGGAAAATTATGTAGAGAAACCAAATTAGTAGGCAATTGTGATCATTCAGGCAGGAACGATAATTGTCGTTTATAAAGTTCCTGCTGGGGATGAGAATATTCTCAGCATTTTACATGTGTTTCCTTATTTAATCTTCTAGTGGTCCTGTAAGATAGGTCTTGTTTTTAGGGCCATTTTATAGATGAGTAAAGTAAGGCACAGAAGGTTAAACAATGTTCCCAGGACTGAGAACTAGTAAATGTCAGAATCAAGATTCTAACATTGGCAGACTGCTCCAAGTCCAAATTCAGTGACTGCTCTGTGCTTTCATTATTCCTGTGTAGTCTCTCTCCACTGTTTAGGTACTGTTTCTCTCAGATGAGGAAATGGAGCCTTAAAGAGATTAAGGAAATGACCAGTCCAAAAAATAAATTAAGAAACAACTTATATTTACAGTTGCATCTAAAAGAGTTAAACACATGAAACTATATCTCACCAAGAAGGTGAAAAACCTGTAGGTTGAAACGACAAAACACTGCTGGAAATTTAAAAGACCTAAGTAGTTGGAAACGTCTCCTATGTTCACAGATAAGAAAACTTCACAGTGTTAAGATCTATGAACTCAGTACAGTTTACAGGTTCAGATCTCTTCTAAAACTTCAGCAGTCTTTTTTTGGAGAAAGGAAAAAACTAATCTTCAAATTCATATGGAATTGCAGTGGACCCCATATAGCCAAAACAGTCTTGAAAAGGAAATAATGGAGGACTCCCACCTCCTGACTTTCTACAAAGATAGAGTACTTGAGGTGGTCTGTGGTTCACATACATGGTCAGGATGCTGAAACTGTTCAGTGGGCAAAGTCTTTAACACGTGTTGCTGGGAAAACTGGATTATCCACCTGTAAAAGAATGAAGTTGGACCTTTACCTTAGACTGTATACAAATTAACTAAAAGTTGGTCAGTGACCTAAATTTAAGAGTTAGAATTATGAAACTCTTAGAATAAAATATTGGAGGAAATCTTCATGACATTAGATTTCATGGATATGATGCCAAAAGCACAGGCAGCAAAAGAAAAATTAGATCATTTGGACTTAATCAAAATTAAAAAACTTTTGTGCATCAAGACACTATAAAGAAAGTGAAAAAGCATCATACAAAAATAGCAAAATATATTTGCAACTCCTATCCAGTGATTTGGCCCAAGAAAAGGGTGTGGGGAAAAACTGTCGAGCCCCAGTGAGGACTTGAGGGACAGGGGTCATTATGTTAAGAGGTTGAGCTTTATTGGAGATTTTCTTACCTTAAGTCTATCTTGCTTGAATGTTATGACCTGGGCCAAACCAGCAATAAATTCTAGGGACATTGTCTCTATCTTTTCTTGGTTTTGATCTCTTTTCAAAAGTTGTACATGGGGCCTCCCTGGTGGCTCAAGTCTCAGCACTATGAAGCTATCCACAACCACTGCAGCATGAGTTTAATCCCTGGCCAAGGGAACTAACCCATATGGTGCAGCAGACCTCTCCTGTCTCACCTGCTGCTCCTCTCGGCAGTGTTTATCAGTAGATCCACCTGTCCTGCTCCCCACACTATCTCTGGTGAATCCTCTCATCCCTCCCATCTCTGACCTACAACCCACCTCTTGTATGCATAAATAAATGAATCTCTAAAAAATAAAGGGATTTAGAAGGTTTAGCTATCAGCTGGGCTTCATTCTTTGAATGGCGTCTTTGCAAAAGTGTATTTTGCTTGCTGCTAGTTTAATAAGAAATCAAAGTATGTATTCTATGAAAATTTAGTATTTCCTGACTCTCACTTTGCATTACCGACATCCAGTGGTCAGTTCTTAAAATCAGTGCTGGCCTGTCTTTCCTGAGTACCTGATACCATTGCCTTGACTGAAGCTTTAATTCTTTAATTCATTAGAACACATTAGGCCTGTGTTCTAATGATGGGACATTTTGAAGAGCAGAGTAGTTCTAAGTCTATTGAATTGTTCATAACACAGCTGCTGTACCCAAAGCCTAGAGTAAGTTGCCATCTTCTATATTATCATACCTCACTGCATTAGAAATCACCCTTCTGACTCTACTGCTTCAGTGCTCAAAGCATTCCATTCACTACTCCACTTGAACGGGGATTCAGTGGCCTAAAGGGTTGGTTTACATAATTGTAGATTAGCTTTCCCCTTGTAGCCTTACTTCCTCCTGTGGTAGTGAAATCCAGGCTGGCAATAGTAATTAGATCTCAGAAAAGCCCGTCACAAAACATACAGGCTAGAGAAACTCCTCACATCCTTCTCTGTGTATAGACTGAAGTTTCAGAGAGCTTCCTTCATCTTTAGGGTATGGTAACATTAGCCGGGTACTGCTTTTCCTTCTGGGCACTAATTTTAATTAAGCAGTCACACTTTCCGTTCTGCTCTGAGAGCTACTCGTAGCCAGTAGCTAACCTGGTCATTTGAGTACCTTTCCTTCCCTCCTTGGTCGCTGATATTGCTTAGATTAGATGCACTGTGAACAACAGCAGCAGAAAACCTCCCATTTCTACAAACTGCTGAGTGACTCAATAAGTTGCTAGATTCTGTGAAACAGATAAGTGCATGCCTTGAGAAGTTAGATCAAGGAAGGCTTCCTAGAATCTGGTTGATCCAAATTTTGAAAGATTGAAGTGACATTGCAGAGACATGACGATGAGAATATATGTAATTCCAGAATAGAAGATACACAAAGGTCCAGCACCGTGCCGTTCACAAGGAATTCTCTATCACAAGGCTCCTGCAGAGCTAGGTAGTGAGAGGTTCAGCGCTTTTTGCATTGGGTCAAGTAGCCAGCAAGTGGCAGAAAATATGAGCTGTTGTCTGCTTTTTCTCCTATGTCGCTCTGATTCAGTCTTGAAAAGGAGCCCAGCAGGACCCAGCAGGAGAGTAAACTAGTCAAACCCTTCACCCTGAAGGTCACAGCAAAGCTGCCATACACGTGGATAATTCAGGGACACCTCAGGATGTCTCCAATTACCTATAGAGTCTAAAATTAGAGTCTAGCATTATTGAATATATTCAGCAACCATTTTTTAAAGGAAAGGAGTTTGTGAAAAATTCTTTAAAAGAGGTATTGGAATGAAAGTATCCTAGAAAAACTAAAATATATCTAGGTATGCATTGTTAGGCGAATGTATATGTTCTATGTTGATATATACATAGTCATATCTAAAGGTATCTATAGAAAAGATAAAAGCTATTTTAAAACATTTCATGAGATAGTATAGAACTAAGGGCCTCCCCGGTGGTGCAGCGGTTGAGTACTGGGTTGCAAAGCTGCCCACAGCCTCTGCAGCGCCGGTTCGATCCCCGGTCTCTGGGCGAGGGTCCCACATGGCGCGCAGACCTCTCCTGCCACCCGCTGCTCCCCTCAGCGATGTACTTCGGTCCTTCTGCCTGCTCTGCTCCCCGCTCTGGCTCTGGTGAATTCTCTCACCCTCCCGCGCTTCTGACTGTACCCAGTGCTTGTATAAATAAATAAATAAATATTTAAAAAAAAAAAAGAAGAAGAAGAAGAACCAAAAGAACTGTGACAAAGCTAAAAGAAAAGCAAGACTAGGAATGGGAATGAATAGAGCCAAATACTTCCTATGTTTTTTAAACCTATACTCATTTTAAGTTTCTGGCTACAGACTTAAAGAACACTGTTTTTTACTCAAACTGCAATTACAAAGCCCAAGAGAAAGGTGGCCTGGTGGTCAGTTGGCGCTCCCTCCCCCTGCATGTAGGTCCAAGCCAAAATGAGTTGATACTTTGACAAGGACTCAGCCAACCAGGGCTCTTAGGTAGGTTGAGGAAATAGCCCATTATGGTGGAAATTCAAATCAGGTTTCACATTCTCTTTGCCTGCCTCTACTAATTACATTTGTTTTTATTGGAAAATGATAAACTTGGAGTTGAACTTTGTGTCAGTAAAGAGGCGTTGCTTGTATGGGTTCTGTTATTTCTAAGTTCAGCTCTCCTATTAGAAAATGGGTACGAGATGAGACTTAGGAAGAAGGAATGGAAAAGTGAGTTATGTCGATCTAGCAGACAACTGTAGAAGGTAGCCTGTTGCATTTGACCCTTTAATATATGACCTCGACAGCTCATTAGTTGAATAGCGCCAGCCATTGTTCATGGCTGAAGATACGGTTTGTGGCTTACAGAGACAGGGCAAGTGGCTGCCTCCCGGACCTCTCCTGGTAGCGGGGAAAGCTAGATGACAAGCGCGGGAGAGTGAGCGAACAAGGCGGTGCGCTCGGACACCTTCCAGGGGTTCTTGATAGACTAATTTTTCTGCATAAGTTTTGGAGAATCACAAAGTGAATTTTCATGCCTCAGTAAAGGTGACTGAACTGTATTTGAATCCATCAGACTGATGTTTACTGCTAATAAATTTTCAAACCAAATTTTTGAGAATTTCTAAATAAATATTTCTCTCTTAGGTTGCAGAGAACAAATCTTAGAAGATGCCAAACCAGAATCTCTTAATGACACTACTGACTTGTCACTACCACCTGAAATGCCAATTTTGATTGATTTCCACGCACTGAAAGACATCCTTGGACCCCCGATGTATGAAATGGAGGTGATCATTCTCATTGCTTTCTTATTTTTTTTTTTAAAGATTTATCTTTATTTATTTATACAAGCACTGGGTACAGTCAGAAGCACGGGAGGGTGAAAGAATTCTCCAGAGCCAGAGTGGGGAGCAGAGCAGGCAGAAGGACTGAGGTACACTGCTGAGGGGAGCAGCGGGCGGCAGGAGAGGTCTGCGCGCCATGTGGGACTCTCCTCCGGTGGCTGGAGAGCAGCCGGGGATTGAACCGATGCTGCAGAGACCTCGGGCAGCTTCGCAACCGAAGCGCTCAACCGCTGCGCCACCGAGGAGGCCCTCTCATTGCTTTATTGATGCACTGGTTTACTCTGACGGTTGCTTAACAGATTGTGGGAGAAGTGGAATTAGGTATTTTGGGAGGCTGAATTTTGTCCTTAAGACTGGAATCTTATTTTCTCTTTGATATTAAAGTTTAGTGCCTAATATATTATTATAGCTATTGTACAGAAACCCAGCCTGATTTTACTCTCTGCCACCCCTTTTCATTTTTAAGAACAGCATCTCTGACCTTCCTCTTTAGAAATTCTTTATCCCTGTTGTATGTGCTATAGTTAAGGATTTCTTTGTGCTGTCAAAGGCTGGGGGAAGGAGGGAATCCAGAATGGAAACACGAGCTGGCTCTAGTTGCAGGCTGCTCCTCGTGCAGACCCAGATGGCACCTTTCAGGAAGCTCTTGTGCATTGTTACCAGTTCCTTTCCTGTTGCACCCAGGGGCTGGTCCTAGCTCTGTCTTTCTCCCCTCACAGCACCTCACAGTAAAATGCCCAGCCGGAAAGACTCAGGACCCGGGACTGGGTTGAGACAGCTGGATGGAAGTAGGTGTTTGAATCAGACTGCTCAGGCAATAGGATCATTTCATGGGGTGCTTATCCAAGCCTTGATCAGTTACTAGGGAAATAAAAGGCTTTATCCCAAAGAACTTGGCATCTTTCTTCAGAAACTTCACCATTGCCTCCTCCTTGGTAGTTTTAGGAAAAAAGATTTCAGGAGGCAAATTTGATAAACAATGCAGAAGATCATCTCTCCATCTCACATTTGCAAACTACCAATAAATACAGGTTTCCCCAAGTCTTAACAATGAAGAGGAGGAGAAAGGGTCCCCAAACCCATCTGTTTATTTAAACTCTAGGCTGATTGTTAAAGCTAATGAGCCCCTTCACAAACTCAGTAACAAGAACAGGACTCAATCTCGATAGTGAATCTGGTCTTGACCAATAGAATCAGAGACTATATTTTGGTTATTTGAATCCTCATGATACCATGTATTTGAATTTTGAAGTGTTAAATGAACTGAAGCAAAATTTCTTGGTTGAGAAAGTAAGCTAAACCTGCTTTTCTGTTCTGAGAGAATCTGGTGATTCTGCAGGTAAAATTGTAGCTAGGTTCTGACTCCAACATGCCCGAAGGGCCTTTTCTCGAGCCTTTCCAGAACAGTGCATTCCAGCAGTTCTTTGGAAGTTTAAACTAGAGCAACAAATTAGAAAAACAAAATATTGGCTTATGTTTCTGTTGTTAGGCCCTTTTCTCCCAGCCATCTCTGCTGCTGTTACGTTTGGACGTGTTGCTCACATTCTTGGAGCTTTGGCAAGGAGCCAGGAGAACAGAAAGGAGAAGTTTTATAAATGCTGCTTAGCAATTCTGATAACATTGGCAAAACTCTTCATTTTCCTTGAGCCATCTGAGCGATTATATTTGACCAGCCTGAATTTGAAAGGTCTGATTTCAAGAGGAGTAGCACCTTAGAGTAGAGGATCTAGAATTGGAACATTTTGTTCATATTTTCTACACCTGAGAGAATTCACCTTGTCTGTCTTTACCACCTCTAGTGTCTCATGACTGTCAGGCCCAAATTACTTAAGTACTCTCTGCCCCAGCTTTTGCATCTATAAGACTAAATTCTATGGAACATGTCTTAGTTGTCCCTGAGCACTGTCACTGTGCTAGGAATCTTCCATTTTACACACAGGGAGAAAACTTACTGATATGAAATGCATCATGGAACTTCTCATAAGGTGTGACAGGAGAGCCAGAATTCAAACTCACGTCAGCCAGCTGCAAACCCAGTATTCTTCCCACTCTTCTTTGGTACTCCCCTGTCAGACCAAGCTGATTCCTGCCCTTCCCTACTAAAAGAGAAAGGCTGTAACATATGGTAGTTTAAAAATAAGCACCCGCTCTACATCAGATTTTCATTTCTGTTGCTACCAATTCCAGTGCTCCACTTTAGAACAGGAAGGGTTGGCCTGGGCTTTGTGACTGCTTTCATGTGTGTGAGGCACTGTGGTATACCATTTAACCTCGGAATTGGTGTCTTTCCAATGACAGATGAGGAAACAGACTTAGAGTGTTTAAATGATTTCAAGAGGAGTCAACTGATGCCAGGATTGAGATTTGGTTCCACCCCAAAGTTAGTCCACACTCCAAGAGACTCCAGAGTTGCCTCTTTGTGGTCTTCTGGGTAGAGAACCTGCAGAGAGAGGTCGTACTTGGACTACTGGAATACATGTTGAGGTATCCCCAAGATGTTGTAAGGCACCATTTTGGTTTAAATGCCTTTATTCTCCATGAAGGTCAACGTCTAGGGTCTGTCATTGCTTCTAGAAAGAGTTTCATTCATTCAGCAAATATGTATTAAGCACCAGGTATGTGCTGCTGGCAAGGCGACAGTAAATAGGCAAGGACAGAGGAGCTGGTAAATGGGCAAGCTTACTTTAGTGGGCGGGGAATGAACAAGTTAACAAATAGTTATAAATTGGGGTTGATGCTATAAAGAAGACAAGCAGGATAGACTGAAATAGGGAGTGATTATTCTCAGCTCAGGTAGAGAAACTCTCAGGCAGGGCTAGGCAGGTATATTACAATTCTATTAGAGGTAGACTTGATAGACTTGCTGCTGAATTACATATGGTGACTGAAGGGAGCAGTAATCAGAAGGAATTTATAGTTTCCTGCTGAAGCAACAGCGTATTTGTGTGGCGGTGTCATTTCTGAGATGGGAACGACTGGCAAAGGGAGGAGGTAGGAACCTTAAGAAGAAAATTGAGAGCTTTGTTTTAAACATGTTACGTCTGAAATATCTGTGAGACATCTGGGTGAAGACATTAGGGCATGTGGGTCTGAGCAGCACTCAGAAGAGAAATCCAAGGTGGAGATGCAGCGTAGAAGCCATCAGAAAATAAAGACTATTGAAAGCCCCAGAAATGTTAATCACCTGAGGGAGAAACATGCACAGAATAGAGCAGGTTGCCCCAGCACAGGCCCTGAAGAACTCTAGCAACCAGGGGTCAGGGAAAAGGGCAGGGAAAAAAGAGAGGGGACCGGGACCGGAAAGAACTAACAGAAGGAAGCAAGGAAAGAGGTAACAGGAAAACAAGGAATTATGCTGCCACTGAAATCAAAGGAGGAAACTCTCAAGGAGGGACCATCCAAATGTATTTGCTGTTTGTTGAGAGATTAGGAAGATTAGAAAACTCTGTTCGATTCGGCAGCATGGAGGCTGTCAGCGATCTGAAAGAGCGGGTTCACAAGGAGTGATGGGGACGGCTACGTTGGGAGTGAGCTGAAGAGAAAAATGGGAAGTGAAGAAAAGGAATTAGTGTGTAGACAACTCTTTTCAGACATTTTTTCACATGATTGCATAGAACTGACGGAACTAGAGGGGAATCATGAGGGCTCAAGGGAGAATTTTTCAAATGTTTGCTCAGCACATTTGCTGAGAATAATAGAGTAAGACAGTGTTGATGCAGGGAGAGGTGGTCCCGTCCCCTCTGTGAACAAAGGGGAACATGACATGAGGTGGATCCAAAGTGTGAGAGGAGGAAATGATCTATGGTAGAAGAAAGGGTACTCTTGGGAGGTTGTGATGAAAAAAGGGGCAAGCAAATTGAGTTATTTACAAGGAACAGATTTCATAGTGATGGAGCAAAGGTGTGTTAGTGGCACAAGGAAAGAAATGAAGGTCAGAGCTGGTGTATGATGTGAAGAGTTGACGGTCTTGAGAACTCAGGAAATAGAAGGATAGGAACGTGATGGTCAGGGAGAAAGATTTACTATTCAGATTTCAGAAGTAGTGTAGTTTCTACTAGTGACAAGGACCTAGAAGAGAGCGAGTGAGTTAAGGTGAGGAAGCAGACCTTGGAGTTGAGAAGCCAGGTTGCTGATGAGCATCAGGTGTCTGCTCAGAAGCCCAGGACGGTAGCAGGACCCAGGGTGGTAAGGAAGAAGATGTCTTTTTGAGTATAGAAAACAGGGAGGTGAGAATGAAGGAGGGGGGGCTGGCTAGCTACCCTAGGCAGGAGGCTGGCAGAAAAGGAAAGTAGCAAGAAGACCACTACTGAGTGATACACCCAGCCTTCTAGGCCTGCTGTTTTCTTTAACAGGTGGGGATAATCACATGTCTGTCTTATTTCTAGGATTTGGGGAGTTAAAGGTAAATAAAGCCATAGAACATGCCATGGAACCTGGTACATCTTAGAAATAAATACTGGTTCCTACAGCCAACATACTCCCTAAGAAAAGACAGATCATCCCCAGTCACAAAAATAAAAAAAAAAAAAAAAAACTGTTGTTTTTATAATCCTAGTTTTATACCCACATTTATAGCCTTGTACTAATACCCTTTACTCTTTGAAGATGAGTCTGCAAAAATATATTAGTATGAAAAAATGCCACTGCCCAAGCAAGCTAACCACGAGGAGGTAAGATGAGAAGGCACACTTTTATCCCTGAGTTACAGCCCTTTGGAAGGCTTTAAACAGGTTGAAAAATAAGTTCTAAGAACTTAGTCTAGACTTCAGATTTAGGAACAGTATCAAAGTCATCATTTCACATACAGACTTTACAAAATAAAGTTTCCTGACGTTAAACCCTCTTTTAAGAAAATAGCTGCTCTCCCTGAACTATAAGAGGAAGGAAGAATAGGAGTCCGCGCAGCTCTGGAGGCCGCCTGGACGTCACCGGCGTGCAGGAGCATGCACAGTCCTGGACAGGCGCCCCCAGAGGCACAGGCCGGGGGCTAGGTCAGGTGCAGAGAACTAGGGTGGACTCGGTGATCATGTCACAGATCTTTGGTCTTATTGGTCTGGTCATTTCTGCCTTTTATAAACTCAGTTGTAGTTACTTTTATTGGTTAAATAAAATGTGATTGCTGTCATTGCCATTCTCATCCTCATAAGGCCAAGAGAAGCCTCCACGTTATTAGATACACGTTCTAGCTGGCCCACCTTGCAGTTGACCAAAAAGTCCCTTGCATCTGTGCTGGGTAACAGTGTAAACACAAGGATTCTAAGCGTGCTGACATAATCAGAAAACAAGTCAACTCTGGTCTTTCCAGGATAAACTTTCAGTCTCAGAAAACCAGTCATCTGAGCCACCAAGTGCTGTGTTCTCACCGGCCTGTTAATCTCGAGGTTGTGTCATCGGCATATTCCTGGCTCCTTTCGTGTTTTCAGACAGTCCCCAACCTTGTGTGAAATCCTCCATCCTGGCTCTGCCGGCAGGGTAAGCAAGGTCCTTCTCCGAAGTCACTGCCCTTAAAAGAAAAAAAAGGAAGAGGATAGACCTAGAAAGCGTCCTGAGCAGAACCATCTGATGGCGGATTCCGAGAGCGCCCACCAGCGCGCTGCACTCCTGTCAAACCGATGAAGGCAGCTCGAGGCGGGTAGACTTGGGCACCGGGCGCCCACCACGAGCCCGCGCTCCTGGAGCCAGGCCAAGCCCGCACCTCCCTTTCCTGCCCGCTGCTGAGGTGGATTTGCAACCAGAAAAGCCAAATATTCATGAAGTCAAGACTCCTAGGAGCCTATACAAAGACTTAAAAGAAACTGGCAGGTGGGTGGCTGCTGTGGTGACAACTGAGCCGAACATGAAAGCGCCAGCTGAGCCGTGAACCCCGGCTCTGCGTGTGCTCGTCCTGCAGAGGAGGCGCTCACGCTGCTCTCATGTCTCAGGCCTTGTTCCGACGCGCCTCTGGTTCTTTTTCACCCAGCAAACTGCTTATATTTTAAGTGGCTTTGTAGCCACTCAACGTGCCACTCCAAAGCCGCCCCTGTTGCACCTCCCCGGCTCCCCAGCTCGGGCCTGGTCGCTGCGGGCCCCTCAGCTGTCCTGCCGTGTCTGTGCAGTTGCCTCTTATCTCACGTCCTCGGGAAGTGCCACTTCCAAGAGGTGCTCACTGTCATGCTCCTGTGCTCTGTCATGGAGCCTGCTAAGGGGAAGCACATGGAGTGGATGCAAAACTCCTGCTGGTGGGGCTGCCGGGGTCCGGGACGGAGCCCTCGGCGTTGGCCTCAGCGCCAAGTGTCCCCTAGAGCTGAGCCTATTTACCGTTTCCATCAGTCGTGGCTATTTTTAGTCAAATCAAGAGAACAGTGTGAAGTTGGCAGTGACACCGCGCTCAGCTGCACCGTGAAGGCTGCTATCATTTAAGTGTTAACGGCGCGACCATATTTCATAAGACATACTGTTAGTAATTAGGCTTGTCATTAAATATGTTAAACACTTCCTTAGTCTGCATATGTACATGATTGATGGAATTATTACAGAAGAAATTGACCGTTTCTTTGAACAAGATTTGGCTAACAGATAAGGAAACTAAGGCACAAGAATATACCAGTGAGACATTGAAGGACAAAAATAAACTTGAGATACTCACTTTCCACTTAACATCTTGTGGGAGAAAACTCTAAACTTCAAACCTAGAGCTGCTTCAAGCCTAAAACTGTCTTGTCTGATTTATAACTGATGATTCTGCACACCGGCAATAGGATTTAGAAGTTATAAATATAAACACTGATAGATAAGCATAGTTTTTCTATGCTTGTGCTGGATCACTCACTCAGGGACTGCTAGAGGTGTCTGGAAAGCTGCCTGCATCCGAGAGCAAGACGGGAGCGGTTATCTTACCCTAAGATTCATAGTCACGTCTCTCATCTTTTCTGAGGGAAAAGTCCATTGGAGCTGGATGCCTCATGTTTTCAGAAACGTGCCCTTGAATATTGAGTCAAGTCTTAAGAATTAAGGACTCTTACTTCTTAGGTAGCTGTGAGCCAGGGCCACAGGGATTGCAGGTTTGTTAGCAGCTCCTGCCCTTCAGTCCTCCCACCTGTGCACGCCCTTGTTGAGGTACACGGATTTCATCGTCCCCATCTTCAAGTTCACAGGAGAGCTGTTACCACCAAGTTACAATAAAGTCATAAGCCTGGATGCTTTTGGTTTGGCCATTTTTACTTAACTAGTCCCCTCCCCCCATTAACAATTTACTGGTTCCTGCTGTCCAGAGCACCAAGATCCTGAAGCAGATGGGAGAGTTGAAAAACTAGCTAGGTTTCTTGAAGCAGTGTAGCAATCAAAAAGAATCTTGCTGCTGCTTTGGGGCTATTTTAGGCATTCTGACAAATGAATTTTGAGGATTCAGCTGTAAAAAAAGGGATTGTTCTTTTATAGCTGACAAAATGGTGCAGATCCCTTTTTCTGTTGAATTAACACATGGTCCAGTATATTGAGGATTAATTCTTTAGAATTAGTTCATTTGGGGGCCTCCCCTGGTGCTGCAGGTGACTGAGCGCCGCGCTTTGAAGCTGTCCGCAGCCTCTGCAGCGCTGGTTCGATCCTGGCCAGCCTGTGAGGGTCCCACATGGCGAAGCAGACCTCTCCTGTTGCGCCCACTGCTCCCCTCAGCAGCATATTTCGTCAGTCTGCCTGTTCTGTTCCCCGCTCTGTCTCTGGTGAATCCTCTCACCCTCCCACGAATATGGCCTGTACCCTGGTTCTTGTATAAATAAATAAATAAATCTTTAAAAAAAAATTAGTTCATTTGGCCCTAGGGATGAGCCATATAGTAAGCAGCAACCCTTGAATGTTAGTAAAGCATGAAAATTGAGGTTTTTATTAGAAAAAACAAGTCTTGTGAAGTCTTATAAATTGTTGTTGCTGTTTTCCTTAAATAGTGCTCATTGTTTACATATTGCTCTTTCCTCTCAAATAAATACAGACCAGGGCCCATGCCTGCTGGAGAATGAGGCTGTAGTGTGTGATAGCAGCTCAGCTGACATTGCATTTGGGCCTTCCAAGTCTGCCTTGTCCTATGACATTAATTAGAATTAGTTTTAAAACATAAAGCCAACTTAAAAATAGGCTCTTAGGTTTACTACTAAAAATAAGTACCCAGTAGCTTCAATAAATGCCTCAGTTTAAAATCAGGTTTCTCACCGACTAAGCTCAGCAGCCCAACCCTTTAACCAAAAACTGAAGGCCACAGACTTGGAGGCTCTGCAGTGAGAAAGTTACCTCTCTGTGGAGAAGTCACATTTAGGGTTAGTGCTGGACTGACATGTTGTGTTCCCGCTCCCCTGACATAGATAACTTCTGTAGCATAAGAAATTTGGAGTCCCAAAGGGTGCAGTAAAAATCAACTTTCTATGTGTCTCCATATCTTGGATGTGCTGACCTGGCTGCCTCATCCCCGAGGCTGATGGTCTTGGGCGAGTGACATGCTCAGTGCAAAGTGGCAGTGACGCAGCACTCGGGAAGGCGCCCAGGACACCTGAAGTAGTCTTCATAGTATTTGAGTGTCTCTGCGACAACAGTTCCACTCATGGAACATAACCATGAGTGGCAGAGAAGTAAACTCCACCTCTGGAGCTAACACTTCATAAATGTGTGTTAAAAAGAGGGCTTCTGCTTTATTTTAGGGCAGATAAAATGTCTGGGTTTGTTCCTTGAAAATGAGAGCATGTGTGACTAGATGTGACTCTTCAGAACCAAAATTATTTGTACATATTTTAAGGTAAAATTGTTTCTGGTCAAAGTCAAAGAGGAAGTTTTGGTTTTCTTCTGGCAGAAATTATGATGAGCTGGTGTGGCTCCAGATCATGTGAAGGAATAACAAACACTTTGATGTATGACTTAAATTTTGGCCTCCATGGGAGAAGATCTTTGAGGCGTAGTGTGATTAGGTTCATCAGCCTGAAAATCATTTAGCTCATTTCTCTTCTTTCTCTCAAGGTGTCTGAGCGTTTGAGTCAACCAGGAGTGGCGATAGGTTTGGCCTGGACCCCCTTGGGTGGACAAATCATGTTTGTGGAAGCAAGTCGAATGGATGGTGAAGGCCAGTTAACTCTGACTGGCCAGCTCGGGAATGTCATGAAGGAGTCCGCCCACCTGGCTATCAGCTGGCTCCGCAGCAATGCCAAGAAGTACCACCTGACCACTGGTGAGTGACCTGGCACGCTGGGCATCCGGCTGAGGGCAAGGAGAGCCTTGGACCCTAATCCAGGAGGCCCCTCCCAACCCTGTAACAGAGAGGAGCTGAGCCTAATTCACCGTTTGCACCTTCAGTAAAACACAAACCTTTGATTTTGAGCCCCTGTGGAAACTTTAGATCCCATTGTCGGGCTGTTTGGCTAGTGCCTGAACCACAAACTCTTGTAATTCCAAGGGTTTGTTTTGTTTTTAATTGTCCTTGGAATGGAATTGCTCTTTCAGACCCCCCCATTCTAGATGTACTCCCCTTTAATATGTTAAGGGATGTACTTGTACCCAAAACATGTATTTTTTCATTTCTTTGATTTTTTTTTTTTTTTAAAGAAGAAAACAGGTTTAATTTTTCTACATTAAAATCTTCTTTTTCTTTTTAAAGCTTCTGGAAGTTTTGATCTTCTTGACAACACAGACATCCATCTGCACTTCCCAGCTGGAGCTGTCACAAAAGATGGACCATCTGCTGGTGTTACCATAGTAACCTGTCTCGCCTCACTTTTTAGTGGGCGGCTGGTACGTTCAGATGTAGCCATGACTGGAGAAATTACACTCAGAGGTCTTGTTCTTCCAGTAAGTATGAAGAAGCCTATTAATTTCTGCATTTTAATTATATTTTTAAATTTAAATAATGGTTTGCCTCTTTCGATGAATACCTTCACTTTAAATACATATTAAGTTTTTATACCCGTAACTCATATTTTTAAATTTCAAGCATCTGAAAGAAAAATAATCATTCTCCCATTTCTAAGAAAGACTTAGTGTGGAGGGTGAGGAAGGGATACTGGTCTGGTTATCAGAAACATCAACTATTCAAAGATTTGACTTTGTTCTGGCTAACCGATTGTTAAATATATAGCTTATGTGTGCCATAGGATAGTGCCGATCTTCAAAATGAAACCCAGTTCGCATCTTTTGGAAGTCTTGCGATATTTCCATCGTCCTGAGAAGAGGCAGGTAACTTAGATGACTGCAGTTGATCGGTTTATAGAAAAACAGCTAATATGAAATGGAAATCGTAGTGAAGACTACCCATGTTTAATTGTTGAGTCTTGAAAAAGTCCTGTAATTAGGGCCTTGGCCCCTACCCTGAGCGCTTATAAAACAGATACAAGGCAGAGAAGTCTCAGGGATGATTAGGCTTTCGAGTCATTACTTAGCCAGCTCCAGTCTCCAACAGAACTTGGCAGGTCCATAGCAAAATGAAGAGGGGCACGGGGATGTTCTTTATCTCTGAGGACATCTTCACTTTATGAGGTAGTGGTGAAAGGATCAGAGAATCACTAATTCTTTCTTTTAAACTCAACCAGAAAGGCACAACTAAACCCGATTATGATATATTTGGTGACCTCGACTTGAAAGGAATGACTGATCTCTCTTCTTCACCTGACTGAGGACTCAAAACTGGGTGGGCGCCGGGGACAAGAGCTGAGGGCCGAGGTCACCTCTGGGCACCGAAACCACCTCTGGCACCAGGGCCTTTGCCTGACCACTGCGGCGGCTCCACCTCACCCAGTTCCACACAAGACAGCTGCCTCGCACTGTGAAAGTGATCAGGATGAAAATCTGACCTTCCGCGGCAGGCCTCCCCGGTCTCACCTTCAGGAGCTGAGAGAGACAAACCCTGGACACTGTCATTGTCTGGGGCAGAACCAAACAGCCTGGTCAGAGCCATGCGAGCTCCAGGATGGGCTGGTGTGGGTGGTCTCTCCCGGGGGCTCTGTCTACACTGTCCCCAGCATCTGGGGAGTCAAGCCCCTGAACCAGTCTTGCCTGCAGGCTGAGTGTGGCTGCTTCCTTTTCCATTGGTGGGAAGAAAACATGTAAGAGCCAGGGAGGAGCTAGCCCATGAAGTCCTAAAGGAACTCCCTGGTCCTGGGAAACATGGAAGTTTCCAGAATAGTGACTGAAGACCCAGTGCAGGACTGGAAAATATGAAAAGAGCAGATGGGAGGGACTGGCCCAACCACCAACTGGAGTCTGTCCTCTTCAGGAAACTTCCCCTCTGGTATTTCTGGGAATTGGGTTTCCATCCCCAGAATTGTCAGACCCTGAAGCAGCTTCAAGTGACCATCCTCAAATGGACAGGACAATCCATTTGGGAGAGGAAGCACAAAACCCAGAAACCACCCATGTCTGGGAAATCTGGAACAATCTCTTGTTCCTTAGCATTCTAGAGTCGGAATGTGAGGAGCCACTCCACGCACCTGCCCTCCAGGATGTTCCTGAACTGCTGCGGCTCAGGAGCGCAGGCCCTCGTTCGGGAAAAAGACAAAACTTGCCGCTGACCATGGATCTAGGGCATACAGCAGGGAGAGGAAGGAAGAGCACAGGGGTCTGTGGAGATGGGTCACGGATACTGTGGTGGTAGAACTACAGGGACTGCACTTGAGGGGAGAAACCAATTACTGAACAAAAATGAACAGTGTGGGAAAGTTGGAAAAAAAAAAACCTCAAAATTAAAACAAGTCAGTCACGGGGATATAATGTTAAAAAAGAGAGTGTGGAGCCATCAGCTGGTAGCACAGCTTCCTCTGGAAGCAGGAAGGGTCCTGGCTGATCAAACAGACTGGGAGGGAGAGTCTTCCCAGCAGGAATCTGGGAAAAGCACTGGGTCCGGGCCAGAAGGCACAACCAGGAGAGCAGAAAGGAGATGGGAAACGAAACCGAGAAGGTTCCTTGAACTCTCTGTAGAACAAATGGTTCCTCCACTTGGTCCCCTGCTCTCAGAGCAAATGAGGCTTCCCTCAACCCCCAGTCCCCAAACGGGAGCCACACAGCTTTGAGTAAGCCTTTACCTTTAAACTGTTACATGAGCATGAAGAGGAGCAGCAAACAGGATGAAACAGAGGTCTTGGACTTCAGAATATGGTTTTAGACTTCACAGTATGGTCAAACAACTATTCAGGGGGAAAAAAAAATGGAAGAAAAAGATCCAATATCTAACAGGAATTTTAGCAAACAGAAAATAGAAAATGTAACTGTCAAAAAAATAATGTTTCTTAGAATTTAAGATTATCTGCAGAATGAAAGGCCTACACCATCTCGGAAAAAAAGATTTCTCAGGACTTTTCAGATCACCACAGAAAAGCTTTGTCATCAGTGACCCAGATGTGGAACACCTTCAAAACTCTGAAGGAAAATGATCTTAAACCTTACTGCCAGTCAGGTGGAATTTTTTCATCCATGTAAGGGATCGGTTTATCTTACATTCTTCCCGGAAAAGGTACTTTGGAAGTATGCAGGTGGATGAAGCAGCAGGCATGAAAGCAGCTCACAGTGGGCCAGGGTGACAGGCCTTGAGGGGCAGCCAGTCCTGTATTTTTTTTTTTTCTTTTAAGATTTATTTATACAAGCACTGGGCACAGTCGGAAGCACTGGGCACAGCGCAGGAGGGCGAGAGAATTCACTAGAGCCAGAGCAGGGAGCAGAACAGACTGACGAAGTACACTGCTGAGGGGAGCAGCAGGAGAGGTCTGCGCACCATGTGGGACCCTCGCCCGGTGGCCAGGGATTGAACTGGCGCTGCAGAGGCTGCGGGCAGCTTCGCAACCCAGCGCCCAACTGCTGCGCCACCGGGAAGGCCCCTGTATTTTTTTTTTTTTTTTTAATTGAGGTGATCTTGGGTCATAGGTGTGAGATACAGCATCAGAGTTGGACAAGTGTGTGCTGCAGCTCCCAGTGGTCTAATTTCTGCCCACCACCCACCTGGCCTGTCACTGCTTTACCCACCCTTCTCCATTCTGTTAGAGTCTAAAGTTTTTTGTTTTATTTTCTCTTACTCCGCTTGGCATAATCCCCTCAGTACAGAGGATGGCAGGATTTCCTCATTCTTACAGCCGAGTAGCATCCATCGTGTAGACAGACGCCTCCTCCTCTACCCACCAGCTGTTGGTGGACACTTAGGTTGTTTCCAGCTGTAACTACTGTAAATAATGCTGTGATGAACAGGGGATGCTTCTATGTTTGCAAAGTAGCATCTTTGTATTCTTTGGGTAGATACTAGGAGTAACTGAGGTATGGCATTTCCATTTTCAGTTTTTCGAGCAGCCAGTCTTGATTGCAGCAGGAGGGCGCTGAGCAGCCTTATCCAGGGAGTACGCATTCGTGGTGGGCTGACTGGGAGCTGTTGTCTACTGCCGCGTTCCATACCACCCCAAGACAGTAATGATTATTCTCACAGTGCCCATGGGTCATGCATTCAGGAGTGGCTTAACTGGGCCCTTCTTGCCAGATCTCTCATGCCTGGTCTCTCCCATTTTATCATCATACCACCAGTCAGGTCCCCGTCTGCAGTTTGACCGAGACAGGAGCACCTGCTTCCAGTGCGGTTCTCTCATGACTGGTAAAGTTGGTCATGGGTGGCAGTTGCTCAGCTTAGGGCTTCTCCACAGGCTGCTTGGATAACCTCAAACATAGCGGTTGGTGACCTCCAGGACAAGAGATCCAAGATACAGATCCAGGCAAGCTCACATTTGTTCTGTCACTCAACCTTGGAAACCATGTAGCGCCAGTTCTACCACTTAGTTTTTCTTGTGAGTCGCTAACCCTGACCTGTATTCCAGAAGGGAATTACTCTGCCTTCTGAAGGGACCCTTGTGGACCTATTTAAAACCACAAGGCTCTAGTTTCAGGATGGATGGCCTGAAACTTCTTCAGGTAGCCCAGAGGTTACAACTTCAAGAACCTCTATGGAAGGAAATTACCTGACATACAGCTAAGCCCCGTGGGAATGGAACTTGGGGTCAAAACAATGCGATGCTTTTCAGAATCTACCTTTAGATGAGATTGCTGGGTTTACAGAATGAAGTATGTTAACCTGGGCAGTAAACAAAAAGGACAGAAGAGATGCTCATACCTATCAAAAACTAAGAATTTTCTTCCACTGAAATGATTTTAACGCTAATTGAAATGTAAGTGGTTGCATTAACCTTTTTAGTAGCTTTCCTAGCTCACGCTTTAAAATGGAAGAGTCTTCGGAAGCTTGAAAATAGCAGTGCTTCAGCTCAGTGAAACAAAGGTGGGCCAGGGTTTTTTCCACAGCTGAGGAATCGTCTGAGCTTTCTTAAATTTTGTGTGTCCTTCTAGGTGGGTGGAATTAAAGACAAAGTGCTGGCAGCACACAGAGCAGGCCTCAAGCGCATCATCATCCCTCAGAGGAATGAAAAGGACCTTGAAGAAATCCCAGGCAATGTGCGACAGGATCTAAGTTTTGTGACAGCAAGCTGCCTGGATGAAGTCCTTAATGCAGCTTTTGACGGTGGCTTTAGCATCAATACCAGGCCTGGTCTTGTAAGCAGCAAACTGTAGGCCTAAATCTCGACTTTGTAGAATTTTAAGAGGTACCAAAAGGTAATGACAAGGTTGATTTTATCCACGGCAGTAGGGATAAGCAAAACACCCCCACTTTGCAGACATAATCATATTAATGAACCTCACTCAAATGTCTGACTGGTGTTTATTACAGAATTTTAATTTAATAAATTAATAAAAACTAAAGTGTCATCGGTGGTGTCAGGCTGTCTGCAAAGTTGTAGAGCAGTGGTGCTCAGTGGGTCCCCAGAACGCAGCATTTACAGTACCTAGAAATGTAAATCCTCAAGCCCCACCACCAGCACTTTTTGAATCAAATTCTGAATTCACATCCACAAATTTAAGATCCCTCTGATTCTCGTGCATAGTCAAGGGCAAAAACCATTGATATAGGTCACTACCTTGGACTCACCTGTAGATGTTAGTGGATCCTGAAAATCACTTGGAGAACTTGGCCAGAGAAGAAAATATAAGCAATTGGTAGTCCTTATGGAAAATATTCTGTACGTCCCAACACAGCTCCCTTAAGCTGAGGGAAGCAGCACTCCTCAGGTGGTCCTTTGTATCAGAGGGACAGGTGTTAGCACCTGTCACAGGAACACACGGACCTAATGTCTGTCACCTTAGATAAAAACCGAGTCCCCCGCCACCTCCCAAAGACCCAGCCTCATTCCCCTATCACTGAGTACAGGGTTTGGATCACGACGTCAGGCTCCTCTATTTACTAGCTTGCTCCGTGGACTTTCTCTCTTCATTTTCCTCATCTGTAGAATGCAAGTACTAGATGTAAAGATTAAGCTAGAATCAAATCACACTGAGTGGCTTCTAATCCAGCCAGTAATGTACTTCTGAATCATATATTACAAAACATAAGAAGGGATATTTTAAGATACTTTGGAATTTCTTAGATGAGAATCTGGTCTGCAAATTACCCAAAATACCTGTAGTGACCCTGCCTTGTTCTGTGAGGACAAGTGAGAAGCAGCATCACAACATTAAGACATTCAACTGGCTATTGTGTCTCATTTCTGTTCAGTCATCTTACAGGAGACATCAAAACTCATCAAAACTTGTCGTTGTAAACTGAAACTCCATCCTTTCAACAGTGACTTCCCCTTCCCCCACCACGAGCGGCCACTACAAAAATTTCATCCTGGCTAACAGCACTAGTAGATGCTGAACAGAAGGGCCAAGAATAGCTATGCTTGTGGCATTCCTGATCTTAGGGGCATTCAGTCTTTCACCATTAAGTGTGATCTTGTGGATTTCTTTGCATATATTTACCAGGGTATCTATTCCTAGTTTAGGGAGCATTTTTGTCATGCAAGGGGAAATATATGTTGTCAAAAGCTTTTTTAGCATGTACTGAGATGGTCACATGGATTTGGCGTTCCATTGAAATGATGTAAAGTCACATGTCCCTTAAAGAAATGTGTCGTCAGATAATAGTAACAACCTATCAAACTAGCCTATGAATCAGCAGGACAAATTCAAGTTTAAGAATACAAAAGCATCAAGCAATAGGTCTGTGAAGGACAAAGTCAAAAAGTGCCACCTACCTATACATTCCCAAGAGACAAGACACCAGAGAGGAACGCGGAGGGCAGTAACAGCAGAGTGAATTATAAAGATGATTTAGGAACAAGCGTTAGACATCCTAATATCAAATGGTGAAGCAGAGCTCGGCATACAAGAATATGAAGACGACTTGAAATTAGTTGACAAATATTTACACATCAGCCTCAATAAGCTGTCAAACGTCTTAATTTGTATAAATCAGCAAAACATGAGGTGATACTGAAATAGACAGTCTTTCACATGGCTGCGTTCACCAAAACTTCCAGAAAGCATTGATAGACATACCAAGACCTTTAAAAAATAAGTCAGAGAACATATAGAAATGTTCACAGGTTATTTATAAATAGCCAAAAACTTTTTATGTAGACAAGACACATCCAACAAGAAATTGGCTAAAATTAGTCAATCCTCACAAGTTACCCATAATGGTGGTGTGTTTTTTTTTTTTTTCCCACAATGAAATGCTTAAATGATCCTATGTGGGGTGTGCAAGGGAGTGACTAATTACATGATCCCAAATTACATGGTTTCCAAACAAATGTGTGTAAGCACATGTAAATACACACAGAACTAGGAAAATAAAAATATTTGCAGTAATCTCTGAAAGATTAATGTCTCCTGTCACTTTCTCACTTTCAAAGCCTGCATATTGAGGACATTATTTTTATAGTCAAACATTGTAAACAATGTTTCAAAAACAAAATAAGCCTTCATAAAAACAATCAAAATATTAAAAGAAAAAACATTTTTCTAAACACATGTTAAGAGAAAAAGACCTGGATTTACATTTCTGGTGACATTTTGCAACCGAAAACTAGCACATTAGCACTCAAAAAATAATGCTTATGTAGGGACGAGATGCACAATTTTCTTTCCTGAATAGGTATCTTTGCTATCTAGAACTAATGGTGGGAGATGGGGGAGTCCAAATTTTATCCAGGTGTTGGGTACTCATAAAAACCACAGAAAACAATCTTTTAGAGACCATTTCAGAATCTCACCCCATGTGTGAAGGTAACTAGCAACAGTTAACTACATGGTGCTAGTTAAAGGCATAATAATAGCAGCTGACATCTGTTGGCTACATATGTGCAAAGCACTGTTCTAGGAAACTTACCTGTTTGACCCCTTTGAGGTAGCTACCATAATTAGCCCCATTTTATATACCAGGAAATTGGCTCCAGAGGTCACATGGCTGTTAAGTGGGTTAGAGGTAGGACTGGCATGGAGCTCCTTGGAAACCTGGTTGCAGAGCCCAGGCTCATAACCACTAGACTATGAAGTAGTGAAGTAATTCATAACACTTTTAAAGGGGAAAAAATAGTGATTAGCATTTCAACTAGTTACTCTCAACAGAACTGTGAAAATTAAAATGTAATCAAGGAGAGGGAGAAAAAAACACAAGACTTAGGCAGTCCCAACAAGACATTTACCCATTCTTTTGCTCTGCTTCAGAATAAAACTCTACCCATATTTCAAAATACAACTTTGGATTTTAATCAAACTTGAAGCTAAAGCAGACACATTACAGTTTTTAATTTGCCAGATATTCTTTTAATGAGAATTATAAAAGCCCAAAAACATTTTTTTTTTGCAATCTGCCTTTTTAAACAAATGATTTGCTTTTAATTACAAATACTGTGTAAGACGATGCCTTCTTTTGCAAAACCAATAAATACAATAACAAATTTCAGATTTTTCCAAGAAATTTGGGGGAGGAGGGGAAGCCTGATTTTTTTCAGTATTAAAAAAAAAAAATCAGTATTCCCTAACCTTTCAAAGAGTAAGCGCAAAGGTATGACTCAACTGGAGAAAAAAAGAGAAACACCTAATAGCTGCTTTAAATATTTTATCTGATAATTCTGATGTTACACCTTTCTTCTGTGGAACCCTTCAACAAAATGGCTGAATTTAAAATATTTCTAATGAATTGATTAATGGAGGGAAAGAAAATATGTATTGAACACAAATGTATAAACTTCACCATAAACAATTATGCATATCAAAAAAGGACACTAACTTTAAAAAGGTACAAAAAATGTGAAGAAAAGTCTGAATTACAGAAAAGAAAGTCAATTTATTTAATGAAAAACTAGAATTAATAAAAATTAGCAAACACACACACAAAATAATACACACAGCAGCACTATGTATTGACTCACAAAGGGAAAAGCAGTGGCCCGAGACCACGCAACATGGCTTGTCAGTTAAAGGGGGGGAAAAAAACCACACACACAAGTTGCACGCACGCTCGCACGCACACACACTCGCAAAAAAACAAAAGCCCAGTATTTCAACAGTACACTCAATCTACAACAAACACAAATTCAGAATTATTTTACAATGCCTCCTTTCTTAATACAAAAGATGCCCACCTTGGGTATATATATATATATTTTTTTTCAGTGGTTTACTGTTGACTTATTTTTAAATATATTAGTGTTAACTACATGCAAGTGCTTCCTGTATTTAAGAGCCTTTCCTTTTATTTACCTTCACGTGTCTAGCTTCCACCTACCAAAAGTTTCAGGTTGGCAGGCGGATGGATGCCTTGTTCTCTGTGAAATAAAATGCAACGGTTTAAACACTGGCCAGAAAATGTTTGATTGCCATTTCAACACATGGAAATAGTTACATTGATGCCTAAATTGCCATTTTCTGCAAAAAGCTGTGCAATGCTGGTGTCAAAAACTAGGCAGTCACTATTCATAATGGCTGTTGCAATTCCCTCATGAATAGATCGAGGCGTCGCTTCCCAAGTCAATCGCCGTCTATGACCATTTAGCTCAAGTCGATAAGCAAAATTTTCAGCTTGCTTGCGTGTTCCTATCAGCTGTACAATTGCAAAGAACTGCTGGTGACCATCATATTTTTCCTGTTTCTCCAAAACTAACATGAAGTGAAAGCCAAAACAGGACTGCATCATCACCCAGTCCACAGCACCAGGAAGATTAATGTCCGTAGCAAGGAAAACGATATCCTCCCCCTGCAGGGTGGTAATGGACTTGTGCTGATGCATCAGGTGGGGCATGACGGCGTCCAAAGAGCCCTGCCATTTACAGGAAGCGCCCGGGCACGGGCAGGAGTAAGGCCGAAACTCACAGAGCTCCTCATGGTCTGCTTTCTCTGTGTGTGGCAGGGTGATTTCACAACCAGAAGAGGCATATTTACAAGGGAAAAGTACTGAATTGGCCACTTTCTCCATAGCCAAGTTGCGAATGGATCCCAACGGGCCCCGGCAGGTCGGACAACATGTGAGCTTTGGGCGACAGTTGCTACAAACAAGATGGCCGCTCTGACACTGCAGAATGGGTGGTAACACATAGTCAAAGCAGACCGGACACTCAAAAAGACTCGCCAAGTCATTGTTGGATGCTGTTGTGCCAGTCAGAGCAGGCACTCTCTGGGATGGTGTACACTTTGAGGTTCCAGTAGGTAGTGCTGTTGCAGTCTGACGGCTCATTTCTGTAAAAAACATAAATAAAAGTAAATGGAGGCAGGGGAAAAATATTTAGAACTGTAACTTGCCTTATCATGTTTCCATGCAGGTAAACTAAAGTTTCATACAAAATTTATGAGCTAAATAAAGGGAAATAATCAGGATTAAAAGAATAAAACGTAAGTGAAATATGGATTGTGCTGATTAGGAGTTGCATGCCTATTTTCAACATGTTCCAGAACACATCTACAATTCTGTTTCTTTAAAAAGTGTTACAAACAGTCCTTGGATGGACTACATGGACTAAAATGCTGAAAGAGAAAGTAGACCATAAGCAACTAAGAAACACTATGACTTTCTCCTCCTGTTCAATTCCCCTACCAGGTCTGCTGATTTCCCATCCTGAGTCCGTTGTTAACAGCCACAGGTGTACAGGCAACCAGTGTGCTGACTCTGACAAACTCCTCTTAATGGTGCTTTAGTGGGGCATGTGGGGGATGGAGAGGGGTGGTCACAAGGGGAAGAGCCTGTGGCAACGGCATCATCAAGTCAAGTCTTCCCCTGGAATGGTAACACCAGGTATCTTCTTTCCTACTGATCAATGCCGCCCTCCCAAAAAACGGTAAGGGAGAGAGAAATGGAGCACCATCCTCAAAAGTTTCTAAGCCTGGTATTTACAGAAAGGAAATCATTCCACTCTACGTCCATTCCACAAGATATAACTTGCAAGCAAAGGAGAAAGAGTCAGGAAAAGGTAAAAGAATAAAGATAAAAGCACCCCCCCACACACACACACAAATATACTGGGGACAGGGTTAAAGAATTCCATGTACCTCGGGTTCACCAGTGCTCCTAAAGCACTAACAGCAACAGACATTATTTAAGAGATAAATGTCATCTCGAAGAAATGATGAACAATGAAATGGACTTGTCAGGTTGAATCTAAGATAAAACTAAGATAAAACAAGCACCTTTTCCCACAAATCTACCTTTGCTGCGCTATGGTAGGCCACTGTTTGTCTTGCAGTTTGACAAACGAACAGTCTGTTGATGCCCTAGAACTCCCAGTAACTATACTAAAGCCATATTCCTATAAAATAAAAATGTTAGTACTTTCTCAACTATAATCATTCTGTTGTACAGAATTTAACTTTGAAAAAACAATGCTGTTTACCAAAGTGGCCGATGTAAATGCAATTTGGGTTCTACATTAATCCATAACAGATACCTTAAATGAGGGCTGAGGGTGGGAAAAAAAAAAATTCCACTGCACTAAAAAGAATATTCTAAACTTCAAGGGGCAACAAAATTGCATCATAGTGCGGCTCATCACATGAATTTAGGACATCAATCGACTCATCATCTGAAGTGCCTGTATGACCCAGATGTCCTATTCCAACAGAAGAACTATCAAGAAACTTCTGGAATGCGGGTACCCTCAGTGTGGGTGCATGACGAGCCATGCAGTTCAGGCCCTCTGTCTACAAAGGGTGGGAGGCAGCCTGAGCAGCACTCATACCTGTTTCATGGTCTATTTTATGTTGCTCACTTAAATGAGCAACACAATAAGTGAAAAATTGATTCCCCGGACAAAAAGCAAAAGGTCTAAGCCACCAATGTTTTTCAAACCACTAAGCCCAAACAGCTAATCAAATGGAAAGGTAGTAATCAATGGTTTATATTCAAGGTAACTAAGCAAGAAGGGCACTTGTTTAATTTCCTGATCTAGCAAAATAGTTATACATCTATCATCAATAGTTCAGGCTCGTTATAGTTATACCTATCATTTTTCCAAAATTGTATAAAACACAATTAAAACTCCTCTTCAAAACGCAAAAACAAGTGCAATTTGGCCAGGACTTCTTGTAAATGGAGGTATTAGGGGATAGCAGCTGCTAAAATCTCCAAGTTCCCCAAAGTGAAACCACCCAGCCCCATCTTCAAACAGTAAAAGAATCCCAACCGCAGACCTGCAGGTATGAACCAAGGACTCAAAAGTCTTTGGACGACCCCACAGAAGTCACCTGAAGTTTGATTTAACCTTGAGAAAAGTACAGCAGACCAACAGAAACATCCCCGCAAGTTCAGTTATGCTGCAGCCATGCCCTGACCGAGTCAGATTCCACTGGCTTACAACACTTTCCAGCTTTGCAGTGTAAGCAAGCCACCCTCACATGCCAGTACCTTTTCTCTTCCTTGTCCCAGCAGCTGGTAAACACGTGTGCAAGGCGCCCCTCCAGGAGTACAGAGAAGGTATGGGAGACCTCCCAATCATGGGAAGTCGGGCAATGCATCCTCTTTCCCCAAGATGCACAGGCATTTCGGAACGGAGGCCCCTCCCGGATGCCCTTGGCTTGTAAGCATGCCGGGGGCCAAGTGATCGGGAAAGGAAGTGTCCTCCATTCACTCAGCAGCACCGGCCACTGGAGGGGGTCTAGATGAAATCTCTCCAGTCCCAAGGAAAGTCGACCCACCTACCACACCTTCCCGCCAGCTCAAATTCGCCTGCCTCTCCAAAAGTGGGAGCCTGTATGGGTTCTTTTAAAACTTCGTCTGTCTCGGAAGTTTGTCTTCCCAGAGTCACTGGTCCCAAGCACTTCCCCACGACAGTACGCGGCCACTGGAGAAAGGGGCGCTTCCTGGGAGCTGGCTCTGGAGCTAGGGTGGGCTCCAGTCCACAGAGCCAGGGGCAGAGGCAGGAGGCGAGCTGGGAAAGCCAGCTCCAAGGTTTGCAGAGCCGAGAACAAGGTCGCCGGCAGACAGCGCGGGGTGGGGGTGGGGCGGACGGGGTGGGAAGCAGGCAGCTCCGCCCCGCCGGGTCCGGCGCCTCAGAACACGGCCCTGCGCTGCGGAACTCCTCCTCACACACCCCCGCCCCGCGCCGCTGCCACCGCCAATCCCCGGGACGCCTCAGCCTTTCCACCGGTTAAAGCTGAGGTTGAATCACGGCGGATTTTTGTAGGCCAAAGTGATCAGATTTCCTATGATTTCAACCTAAGAGTAAAACACAGTATTGTATATGGGAAATGTGAGCAGACAAGCATTCTTTTCTGCACTGTGCCTGGTTAACCTTGGGAAAGTTTCATAGAGCTAAAAACACTCGCCCTAACTCATTCAATAACTATTTTACAGGCATCCACTGTCCTAGTTCCCGAATCCTAACTCACGTCTCCACTTCTACTGCTGCGGGCACCGGGTTTTGTACTCCCCTTCCCCCTGCAGAAAGGCTGCACGCGGTGGAAGCAGTAAACACACACAGACAAAATCAACCACTTCAACCTCCAAACTGAGATGACATTTTCTTCCCGCTCTGGGAAAGTCATCTTAAGCAGCCCCATTAAAAAGAGGCTCTGGTTTTGTTTTTGAACAAGCATTACCCTTGCCCCAATAAAGTCCTGGGCCTCAGATTTGCATTGCATCAGCCTCATTCAGAGGTTTAACCTGTCATTACATCATGCTTAGGGCAGCCTTTAAACCCAGTGAGAGCTGGTGGCGGGGCGTGAACCCTGTACAATGTGTTGTGGATTATCCATGTTTCTGTGACAAATTTTAACTCTAACCACTTCCCCACCCTATCAGCGGTATGTATGTTCAATCACCACGACATCATTTTTTGATGTTAGGATATACAAAACCGCATTAAGAACAGAAATATAACTGAAAATAATCTTCCCCACAGACAAATATAAATTACTATTTCCTCGTTTTTATTTGCTAGTACATATTCATTCTACACTGGTCTCAGGTTTCTAGGACAAGATATTTCAAATACTTTAGAAGGACAAACTCTTTCCAAACAAAATTAAAACGAAACCACCCAAATGTATAAAAATAAGTAAAGGGGATGACTGATTCCTCAAGCAAAAACAAAATTTTAATTCACTTTTTAGTCAAACTTCTAAAAGACCTGTAGAGAGTCTTAGAGCACAGTTGGAAAACCATTCCTCTACAGACAAACCTCTCAACTTCATGAGAATGAGGACAGCAGAAGTGGAAGCATTCTAGAGCCCTCCTAGATTCTGACCCAGTGTCACAAGCTCACCTGTAAAACCGGGACATTTCCAGCCTCACATGACTTTTGTCTGGATTAAGGGAGATGAGTAACATGTATATCACAGAAGGCATATTTTCCAAAATAATCTTAGGTATTCACCCAAGACCTTCAAAAGTTAACTGCTTGAGGTCAGCTAGCAAACAGAACTTACGGTTTCCATACATACTCTCTAAAAGATTTCTTAAGCTTGTAAAGGTTCCAACATGTCTGCCAAAGGTCAGCCGTTGTTTACTTTTTAGCACAATAAACCTTAATAGAATTTATCACCTAGGCAGGCTAGTTACACACTTGTTTTACAAAAAGCTGAAAATTTTATGGAAACTACATTGAAATATGCCTATAGGAACTAAAGTGAGTTCACCATTACCCACTCTTTCTAAAAGATATATGTACCACACCCCCAATTTGATATAAAGTTTAGATTTTAATGTAAATCAAAACACTTTACAGTCTTCAGTGTTTTCTTAGGAATTGAAAATACTTAACCACTGCTTTGCCACATTAACATGTAAAGAAGTAGATGGATTAAGCTTTTATTCTAAATTTCATGTGGGAACCTGTTTCCTTTTATAAATGACGGATTAGTCATAATCTCACGTCTAGCTACTCTAACACACAACAATGTTGTGCTTACCATTCTCTTTCAGCTCATAAATAATACCCCTTTGCAGAGATGTCTGAATCTTAATGCCTGTCACTGAACTTGTGAAATGTGTTACAACAGCAAACAGGAAGCTAATAGTTACAAAATAAAAGTTAAAAAGATAGAAATGTCATCAGATCAAAATGTATTGTGAGATAAGTTACAAATAGAACATACAAGGGAGTGTTGAACAGGGATGGGAGAAAGAGTTGAGAAATCAAGGAGACTACAGGCCAGAAAATGACCAATGATGTAGTTACCTGAGTGGTAAGATACTGGTAACTTTTAGCTATATTCTCCTTCAAAGGGGACAGTAAAAAGCTGTTCTATAAAGATTAGTCAGAATTCTAAAAACAATCAAAATAAAAAGCAAATCTTGCAGACACAATTTATTAAGAGAAAATGCAAAATACCAATTCTTCCCTTTTACTTCACCACAGATTATTCCAGATTATTAACGATGTTAATATTTATCATAAAAGTACAGGTTCAGATTTTGAATTAGAAATCAATGGGTTAAATAAAATTCCATTCAAAACATTTAAAGGCTTTCCTCAACTGCTTTGGAAAAGGTACTTTTCTCAACATTGTGACACTGCATGGGTATTATGCAGAAATTTAAAATATTTTCTTAAAAAATTGCCTTTTTTTTTTTTTTTGGTACCCTCGCCGGGGCCAGGGAACGAACCGGTGCTGCAGAGGCTACGGGCAGCCTCGCAGCCCAGTGCTCAACCGCTGGGCCACCAGGGGAGGCCCAATTGCTCCTATATTTAAGATTCACTTCCATACACTAATAAAAATTTTTAAAATGCAAGTCTCCTTAAAAATGCAAACTTCATTATAAAACAATAATGTTAAGGAAAAAACCTATTATTTCCAGTGTTGTAGCCAATAAGAGGAATTTTATAAGTTGTATTTTCCTAAAAGCTTCATTTTCCTGAAGATAACTCTGAAATTCCTATAGTTATAGAAGACCGTTTGTCTAGAAAGATGATAACATGAAGTGGGGAAAGGCAAGGACAAAGCCAGATAGAAAGCTACTGTAAAAACAGAAGCCTGAACAAAGGTGATAACACAGTGAACAAAGGAAAATGCAGACTGGAATGCAAATGTATAAAGCTTACTTTCTTTTTTTTTTTTTTGTAAGTGTCTAAATTATTTTGAGACTTTCACCTCTGGTTTAAAAAGAAAAATATAATACCAACATATACTTAATCAGAACCTACTAGGCACTATGCTAGATACTGAAACATGATAATAGATTAAATGCAAAGTAGGAGATGTCTAATCAAAAAAACAGCTGATAGAGTAAAGACTGGCGATCAGAGTTGTGAACATACAGATGTTATGTGAAGTCACAGAGGAGTTTGCCTAAAGCAAGAGAAATCCCAACATTTAAAGATTTACAAGTTCGTTATAGGTCTAAGAGGCAGTGGCTACCCCTACACAGCAATACTTCTCATTTTATTATGCTTACTAATCATCTAGGGATTTTGTATAAAATGAAGATTGTGATTTACTATGTCTGAAGTCAGGTTTGAGAATACATTTTTAACCAACTCCAGTTGTGGCCAATGTGACTGAGGCCCACCTCTGAGTAGTAAAATCTAAAGCTCCGTTAAGAAAAACAAAAGTGAGAGAAAACCAGGTCATTATCTCAAAATTCAAGATAGAAATTTAAGATATATAAAAACTCACATACACATCAATATTAGAATAAATTATGTTTAGTATGTATCTTACAGGGAACTTACATTATTTCTGTAACCAGAAAAAAAAAAATTAAGAAAAAGGCAAAAAACAGACATCGTTAAACATTCAAGAACTCAAGGAATCTGGTACTCATGAACCCTTCTCTTCAGAAGATACCTAATTGGGGGGCAGAGAAGGGGAATCAACCAAGTGATGAATTAAAATAACTTAGAAATGGCGAGCCTGTCTGTGACAGGCTCCATTTAAATTAGTCAATGACTCCATTTAAACACAGAATTAAGACTAAACTGTGGGCATTATAATTACCAATTACAATATAAACCTCTAAGATTTGGCAAGGTGCAAATAATTATATCAATAATTAAAAAGCCAAGTGTAAGTAAATTAATGGCAGAGTCAACCATGTGGAATCTGCTAGGGTGTCAAGGAAATCAGGCCTAAAAAGGTATCCATGGATTGGCAATATGAATTACTGGTGGCCTCTGCAGTAGCAAACTTGGAGATATGGCTAGTGTGGAAGTCAGATTATGAAGACTGAACAGGATGCTATGTGGGGCTAACATCTGAAAAGCAGGACTGTGGAGAGGAATGAGTCAGCAGGAAGGCCCAGGACATTTTTTGCTTGGTTCCCTTCTTCATTTACTCTTTAAATGAGAGTGACCAGCATAAAATGAAGGCTGGTAAGAGTTCGAAAAAAGGATAACCCAAGAAATATGACAATGCGGTAAAATTAAGTTCTTGGGGAGGTGAGAAGGGATTCAAAACTCAAGACAGAGGACTAGACTGCATTAGAAGAAATACTTTCTCCAAGGTAAGAATTTGAAGAGCTTGAAGAGTTTCTATTTTCTCTGCAAAGGAAGCATAGTCATCCCCTTTTGGGGGGGGCGGGGAGGGGATGGTGAAGAAATGACAATGTCAGAGGGCTGAAGAGATCCCTAATTAAGCATCAAGTCACCGCAGAGTCCAGTTTAATGAATTAGTTAGGCGGCTGTACTGTTAGGCATTTTGAGAACACATTCAAAATATAAGTCAGTCATCATCCTCGGTCCCAAAACACCCCTATTGCCTTAAAACTAAAGGAGAAATAATATGTCATTAACCTAATATGTTTTCCAAACTTTAGGATTAGAACTCTAAAACTAACCAAAATGGTTAAATTTAATAGCAATTCCAAGCTCTGAGGAGCATCATGGAGCCCTGAACTTTTACTCTGCTGGTAGAAATACAAAAATAGTACAACCACATCTTCATCACTGCAGAAAATTCTATTGGACAGAACAGATTCTATATTCTATTTTACTAG